CTTCTCTTCTCTTCTCTTCTCTTCTCTTCTCTTCTCTTCTCTTCTCTTCTCTTCTTTTCTTTTCTTTCACATTAAATAACGCAATTTTTTAAATATTTTTCTATTACAGGCAAACATTAGTCAATTAGAATACTCAAGCAAATACCTTCAGTATTTAGAACGTGTGAAAAAAAAGAGAGTTGGTGACAGTAAGGACGGCAACTTTTATTTTTCAGGAGATCCATCCTCATCAACACTTCGTATTTTAACCATAGTCACAAACAGTGTTAACGATATCACATACGAACGACTCCGCCGCCAACGTCGGACTCCAAAGGGAATGAAAAGAGCGAATCAAGAGTCGAGGATGGAATCGTTTAACGATAAGACAAATATTCGTTTACATTTTCCATTAGCCATTAACGATGCTGATGGATTTCACTACAAGAAACTAGATGAGGCAAACGTGAGGCTAATGATGCTGTACAATCCAGCATTGGCACAATCACGTCACCATAGAACAAGGATAGAACAAGGAGTTAAAAGAAAATATAACAATTCAATGAATCACAAAGCAAACTGCAATAGAGATAGCATGATTCCCGTTAATCACCAACAAAATCGTAGATCCAAATCCCGTAGTTACCCGTTAAAATTGAGCGTTTATCAGTTGCTGCCAATGTACAAACGCAAACAGTTAGATTCCCGTAAAATAGAGTTTGAGAACACGATGGAAGTAGATGAAACCCGCAGCCAGTGGTTGGAATTCGATGTTACCGAGGCGGTGCGTGGATGGTTAAACAAGAGCTGCGAGAACCTTGGAATAGAGATTCAATGTGATAAATGTCGACGCATTGGGGCGCGAATACTCAGCGATGTGCACAGCCCACATCATATGGATCAGAATGATGGGGATGATAATGATCGATATCACCTATCGCCAGTTTTGAATATTATTGGGCACATCGGTCGCACCTATCGTGAAAAAGGAATACATTCGTTTAATCACAACAACTACTCTGATTATAGTAATTCGAATATTACCAATCTCTGGCCTAATAGTTGTTACAAATCGCATCAACGGTGCTGCCGACATCAATTGAATGTGGCTTTTAAGGACATCAAAGGATTCGAGTTTATCATACAGCCAAAGATTTTCGACGCCGGCTATTGCCTTGGGCGTTGCCCCCCTAGGCACAATCCCGCCCATCACCACGCCCTACTCCAGAGCTTAATATGGCAGCAGGACCATAACCGTGTACCTCGACCATGCTGTGCCCCATCGAAACTCACTGAGCTAGAAATATTGCACGTGGATGAGAACCATAGTGATAAGCTTAAGATATCAACATGGAGCAATATGCAAGTTTCCGAATGCGCATGCTCATAAATTAATTTTGCCCTTTTTCCTCGTCTTCAGTATTTCGATGGGTTATTGATAATATATTGATTATATATAAATATACAAGTTTAATTTGAAATCGTAGTAAATGGTTTTACTATTTGTCGAGACAAAATATTTTGAAATAACCCGTTTTTATACCCTGAATCCATTGAAAATGGGAAATCAGGGTGAAGTGGTTTTGTGAAAAGTATGAAACAGGCAGAAGGAATCAGACTCCATAAGTATATATATCAGACCCCATAATGTATATATATGTTGTTAATCAGGGCGATGAGCTGATATTGCCGTGTCCGTCTGTCCGTGAGTCGATCTCAGTAGAGCTAGAAAGCTGAAATGTTGCAGGTATCCTAGTGTATACGCAGTTAGAATTAAGAATATTTTAAAAAAATTCTCCCGATATCATTTTTATCGAGAAGAAGTGATAAATTAATAGGTTCTTTTCAATTTAATTTTAACACTATTAGACCTGGAGCTTTTCACATTTATTGTGTATATAAAGATATACATACATATATATATATATATATATATATATATATATATTTTGTTATTTACAAATTTTGGATACCACTTCTCTGTAGCCAAAAAGTACTAAGGACTTTAAACATTATAATTATGTTCTGAAAGTTTCATTAACATAGACGGACGGACAACAAATGAATATAATGATATTGCGCAGTTAGCAGAGTTCGTGGTAATGCGAGCGTGTGTACCCAAAAAAAGTGGAGAATGATTAGAATATCAGCTGGCTGAGCTCAGAGTATCTACTAGTCGAGCAGTCTCGACTAGAGCACTCTTTATGTTTTCAGCTTGTTCAGTTTTTCAGTTTTTCTAGAATATACTCTTCTATTTCATCGTTAAAATGTATGTTTGCTAATTTAATACTTTCGATTAAAAAAATTATCAAAAATTATAAAATTATATATTTTACTAGCTGACCCGGCAACCATATCATTTACTTAAGTATGCTTTATTTATTACTAATAATAATGACATTCAAAAGAAAATACAGATTAGTTTCTCATTGTTTTATCTCGCCACGAGAACATGCCACATATAGTTGTCCGTAGGACAATCCCGGTGTTTCCAAATCTAAGCCACATACAGACTTATTGATTGTCATCGTGTATGCCAGTATAATTGGGAATAGAATGTCAGAAGATATAAGAGCTAGAGACTTCAACTTTTTTTTTAAATGTCCGTATATAT